ACCCCCTTTTCCCCAGGGAAAAAAAAAAAAAAAAAAAAGATGACCCAGAAGTCCTAGAATAGGATTATGTGCTGCCCTTTGCTTTGCTGTGGGTTTTTTTCTTTGCAAAACAACAGGAAAGATGCTGAGGGAGCTTATGCAGAAAGGAAACTGGGCATTAGCCGCCTCCTCCCACCAAGTTATTACCTCAGTGCCAAATGCAGGACAGGAGCAGGACTCTACATGATCTGTTGCAGGCTATGAGTCTGGGAACAGCAATCCAGTGTAGACTGTTTCATATGTGCATATGACCAGTGTAGGCTGGTCATATGTGCATGGCAAGAGGAGTGACTGGGATAGCACTTTATATCCCACTATGTCCGACTGCTAGTGCAAGGAGACTCCTAGCTGCAGGGGTGCTCCATGCAACCCTGGGGTTGGAGAATCATGACAGCCACAAATCTCCCAGGTTCAGGGGTGCATGAAACCCTTGGGTCTATGGGACTGCAGCAGCTGTGATCTCCCAGGCTCACAGGTATGTGAAACCCCACCAGGGCTGTGGGTGCGATCAGGGCTGCCACAATTCTTCAGACCTGGAGGGTTTCACATACCTCTGAGTACAGGAGATTGCAGAACCTGCAGTCCTCCAGCCCTGGGGATTTCATGCACCCCCAGGGCAGCCATGAACAGCCAAGGCATCCATGGCCCCAGATGCTGGGACCCAGAGTTGGAAGCTGCTGGGGATGAGTCTCCTCAGTTGCAGGACTCCCAGCCCCAGCTGGGCACAGTACCACCTCTTACAGCTGGGAATACCCTGCTACACATGCAAATCAAAGCTCTGCAGCAACCAGCTCTAAAGTTAGCATGCATTTTCAAGGTCTAACTTTATAGCTGCTTGGAGCAAAATTTTGATGGTGTGATAACTACTAGGGCTGCGTGAATTTTGCCGCCTGTTAATTTCGACACTGTTCCGGCTCATTTCAAGCTCAAAACAGCGAAATTGAAATGAAATGAACGTCTTCGAAACAGACTCAAAACAGACCCAATCATAGGGCTGGGGAGGGGAACTGAGCAATGGGGCACCATCACTGTTTCGACAAAATGAAACGGAACAGCAGTTTTGAATCAGAACGAAATTTGAAATAAAATGCTGTTCTGTCAAAACCTCGAAGCGCAAGTCAAAATGGAACAGTGCCATTTTGCACTGGTCTCAAGGTAACTGCACAATTAACCAGGTAATTGCAGAAAAGCTGTAACATGTAGAGGGGACTTTACTTGATTTCTTGCATTAAAAGTCCTCTGCAGAACCTGTCACCCAAAAGGGTGAGGCCAGAAAAGGGGAGATATGAGAGGCAACCTAAGTGAAACTAATATATTTGCATCCTTTCCAAATAAAGTGCCCACCTATGCAATGCCAATAACAGTGGCAAATGAGAACTGTTAGGTGCACTGAAACTGAAAACTTCTAAGGGATTAGCAAATACATCAGGATATACATTCTTTTTTCCCTTCTTTCTGCATATTTAGAGAAACAAACTTCATCCCTTTTAGTATGACAAATATCTATGGCCATAAATAATCCATAAATAATCCTCTGCTGTACCACAAAGGAGCATGCTAGTGACAGAGATTGGGGAAGCAACAGTAACTAGACAGTCTTCCAGCCTATCATAGTGAAAGAGTTCAGGGATTTAAGACCATTCAGATTTCATTGGGTTCAGCTGTGCGCTCTGCTAGACGTCACTGAGAGCAGATTGGTCTTTATGTATATGGTCTAAAAAACCCAGTTGGAAGACCCCATGCAGATGTCTGCTACTGCTGTGATCACACAGCTTTGACACACAGCTTCTGTTCCTATTTCCTACATGTAGCTCAGCCCATGCACACTCACTCCTATGCAGGAGCCACATAAGGGGAAGAACTGAAAGCTTGCCACAGATTTATCTGACATACTACCATGCATTTTCCATTTTAATAAGTGAGGACTTCAAGCACAGTGGAAAAGACAGGGGCAAGGCTGGAACAGTGGTTCATGCCTGGCTATGCTTTATGGGAAAGCTGATACCAGTAGAGGAGCTCTGGCTCATCAGAGAAACCTCCTCTCGATGTACTTGTATCCCATCACAATACAGTGCTCAGTAGGGCTGCGTGAAGCTTTGGGTGGCGATACGATTTCAGAGGAGATTCGGCCCTATTTGGGGACGGAACCTCCAAATCTGAATCGAATCAGGGGACCAATTTAAAGGTCCGAATTGATTCAAAGCTCTCTGAATCTTCAGCAAAGATTTGGAGAGCTTTGGTGATTCAGACAGTCCCTGGTGGCTGCTGCAGGGGGCTGCAGCCACTCTGAGCTGGTAAGGACTAGGGGCGGGGGAGGGGACCATGGAGGGACCCCTGCCAGCCCCCCAACCCCACCATGGCTGCCCCCGCCCACCCCAGCTCAGAACTTTAAAAGAAAAGCCCCGGTGCTCACTGGGTGCTGCCAGGTGGGGGGCGATCCGCACTGCTCCACACTGCATGCAAGGCTCTGCATGAGCCCCCTCAATACCCTCCTGCTCCTCCAGAGCCCTCCCTCCTGCCTCAGGGGCTTGTGCAGAACCCCTCATGCAGTATCGGGCAATAGGGAATCGCCCCCCACCCAGCAGCACCTGCTGAGCTGGGGCTTTTTTCCCCCCCACCAATGCCAGGAGCTGGGGTGGGCAGAGCAGCCATTGCTGGGCTGGGAGAGGGACAGGAGATGGGCCTGGCCTGCCTGCTGCCGAATCAATTTGGGACAGTGATTCGAACCACCAAATCCAATCACTGCCCCCTGAATCGGCTGAAACCAAATCCGAAGCAAATACTAGCTGATTTGCACAGGCCTAGTGCTCAGCCATGGCATGCAGCTCCTGACTGGCTTTGTACCAGCTGCTTGATCATGCCCCCTTTTGAGGGTTTTTGTGGGCATTAAAGGGTTGGGGTTACAGCACAGAATGCACTGGAGATTACAGCACCCTGACCAGGGAACAGACTGTACTTGATGGCTGTTCCTAAACTCGCACCCACCAAACATCCCCCTTGACCATGTGGACCTGCGCTCCTGTCCACAACAGAGTGGAAAAAATCCCAACCAACCCAAAACATTGCCTTACTATGAAGCAAATTGTCAGTTTCTACAGTTTACAGCTAGCAGGTTCCTATTATGGCCTGAACTGTTAATTGCTTAGAATGGTCCAAGCTGCTACGCTACATCAGAGGCACCACATTTTCCCAGAGACCTACTAATTAGGTACGAGGTGGCATCCTGACATTTCATTGCTATATTGGTTTTGTAGCATTGCACTTTGACATGATGCTTGAACTCCTCAGCAGGATGCTACCACGAAATTAGTGTAGCTTTTTGCCTTTCTATTGAACATAATGTCAATCCTCTTCTGGCTCCTAAGGAGGACAGAAGCAAGTGTACACGTATAATATATAGTATAGAGGGAAAAATTGTTCTTTCCCCTCCTGTCCCTGCTGTTGGGTTTTTGGAGGAATAGGGGAGGATCTGGTTTTTCATTAGGTCCATTCAGCAGTGTTCATAATACTTTCTGAGTCACATAGACCAGCTCTCCTCATGCAGAAGCACTCTAACAAGAGCTACAGACTGAGAATCACATTGTAAGCACCAGATATTCAAAAGGCTGCAGGGTTCCAAGTCCAGCAAAATGAGAAAGGCATGTGTTGCATCTTTATGTATTTTCATCTTCACCTTGTAACCTTTCAATTCCAAAATATACCCTTACTCCTGATAAGTGTCATAGGAGTAGTTTATTTGCATTTATTTTCAGGATGAATCAGCAGTATACCATGCTTTTTTGACTAAAAATGCTGAGCAGAGAGGCAGAAGTGAACAAATACTTCTGTTTAGAAGAATAACTTCTCTATGTTTGTTTTTTTCCAGCTCATTCTTTCCACTTGGGAAGGAAGCTATAACTTACAATGTCAGAACCTTCACAGTGCAGGAGAAGCGGATGTCCGGGTGAGACATAAATCCAGCAACTAATGCAGTTCAGTAACTAATGCAGTGCTCGCTTCCTAGCACAAGCTTTTGGTGCATCATACAGAATTACTTAAATTTTTGGCATTTGTTTTAATGACCTTTCGTCTGTTTGTTACATCATGGGGTCCATCTGATCCATGTCATATCCATGTTGGGGGTCAGACCTGATGACCTGTTTAGGTCCCTTCTGCCCCTAGGCACTATGATATTGCTCCTTACTTCTTATTAAAAGAAAAAGGGGGGGGTGGGTTGTTGCGAAAAGGTTGGTAACAAAAGCCTTATAGCTAGTAATGGTGTCCCTGAGAATGTTGTGCCATTGTAATTTGAGAGAAAAAGGTATTGCATTTAATTCAAACAGAAATCATTTGATACAAACCCCAAGGAAACTGACTACACACATTTGGTGGGTTCAAACTAGAGACAGATCCAAAACCTGAACCTGGGGGAATGTTTAGATCTGAGTTTTGCACCATAGAGCTCATGCCTTGTGCCGACTCCTCTTGTACAATAAGGTCAGTGCAGGCTACATTCCTCTTGTTCCAGACTCTGTAAACTCAGACTTTCCAGGTGGTTCACCACTCTTCCCTTTCACCCCAAACTGGGATGCATTTCCCTTCCTAAGTGACATTTCTCCTTTCCCTCACTCCAGGAGACTACTTTAAAAAACAACAACAACCCAAAAACAAACTTTTCTCCCTCTTTGCTTATTTATATTAAGGGCACAGCAATATTAAAGTATATTAACCTAAACCTATGGTATAAGTAGCATAATTTCAGTTAATATAAAAAACTCCCAAGTGGAGAGCCTGCTTCCATATACCTGGGGTTGAAATCTGGCAATAAATTATGCTAGCAGCTTGTTTTCAGGAACTTCTGTGCCAGAGGACATTAAAAAAAATATGCTATCACTAACATTACGCATCATAAATTAAGTGTCACAACAGCAATAATCTCCAGGGCTGTTAATCATAGGGGTGTGCAAAGCAGGCCCTCTTCTATTTGTATTTGGCCCAAATCAGGGAGAGCGATTCCATTTGTTGATTCAGATTGCTGTCCCTGATTTGATGATTCGGCTGAATGCAAATCTGAAGATTCGATGCCGATTTGGAGAATCAGTGATTTGGACACTGGCACAGCTTTAAAAGTTTTTTCTACATACCTTGAGGTAGCAGGCATGGCTCATGATTGCTGCGATACTGGGGTGCACGGAGTGTCCCACAGGAGTGTGGGGGGCCCTCCACATGCTCAGCGGTGAACCTGTACTGCTGCTCCACTTCCGGGTCTACCAGGGAGTGTGCTGGCCGCCCTGCCGCCCCCCTCC